GCGCTCTGACTTCGGCCAAGAAAAATGTGTCAGCTGATCATTGTCATTTCTGCCACTTTCGTGTGGTGAAATGGGGTCATAATTTAAGAGATGGCTGTTTCATATCAATTATTTTACATAAAATCATATTTCAAACCATAAATTAATGTTCGACAGCCAAACTAAAGAAACAATACCAATACAGGCTTACAGTTTAAGTTCGACATTGTGTTGTCTACGATTAGACAGCTGATAACTCATTCCCGTACGTCGGAACTCTATAATGACCTTTGCTTATTGTCACATGTGCGCCGCATTCGCGATTGTTGCCGACGCCTGTTTGCAGGTCAGCCCACTACAGTTGTTATACATATCGAAAAACCGATAAACTTTTAGGCGAAAAAAGCACTATTCCAGGCCCATTTTTGATTTTTTGCGATATTAGGTAAAAACAGAAGCTTCTTATCCTAGAAAAAATAAAATGGGAAATCTTTGAAAGGTGGCACACTACCTTTAATTGTCATCAAAACCTTTCTGTCTTTATTAGAGATAAACTATTTCGATGCCGATCATTAGCACAATTATCCCCATTATTATCAAAATCTTTTCACGGGCATCGATAAAATAACTGGAGGAAAAATAATTTTCCAATATACGTTGAGGATCAAAGCCCATAGTATTTCTAGCCCAGAGCCAACCTAGCAAGCAGACCGTGCCATTACGAGCCATCCTAGTGTTCTTTGCGCTCTGTCGCTAATCACCATCACTGTGTCCGGTCACTGTGTCCTGTGCCGGACCAATTAACCGATATCCAGCGGTAGATTTAACTCTTCTTGTTATCATGGTTCGTAGCTTCTATCGATTTATCAGACTCGACACGGCGTTACTGTTAGAGCTAGCTATAGGTTGTACATACCTACTCCCGTTTCTGTTTAGGTGAAATCCATGGCTCGCCGAGGACTAGACTCATTGAGGACTCATCGAGGACTCGCCGTGGACTCGCCACACTCGATGAGGACTTATTGAGGATTCCATCGGACTCGCATCTTCGTGGGTCGTTATGACAGGCTGATACCGACTTCAGGCCCGGCGACTTAAGGCGCTTATTCAGGTGAGTCCGTGGCCCGCGGTTGCCACCGTTATTTGAATGCATTAGCGCTTATCTACGAGTACACAGGCATACGGTTTTCAATATTCACTGGAAAGTGGAGTGGTTTGCGTATAGTGCAATACTTCTTCCATAAACCATAGCGAGACTTGGGCAAACAATGGACATGGGTTTGAATGGGAAGTGGTCTTCACCGTGCCTGTCAACGAATCGATAAACGCAAATGGACTGCAAATATTCATTGTGGAATGTAGAAAGGACTAAGGAGCTAACAATTTTGCGCACCTGAGTGGGATTAGACGAAGATTTCACAAATCACAGGTCTTAGATATTCCTTTATCTCATTGAATCTCTAAGAGCCGTATCCGGTATCCCACATCTTAGTATACAATCATCCGCATACCCGCCCACTACCTAGCTACATTGTAAAAATTGTCGACAGTTGCATGTATCTTGAGGCAATTACATGGTAAGAATTATTGATAAAAGTGTAGTAAAAGTTTCCAATTTTTTTCACCGTCCCACCACTGAATTCACTGCCTCTGTAGTTAGCCAGCTTCAGAGCACCCGCCCAAAAACTTGACCTCCACTCCCCTCTCCTGACCTGTGCTGACCGCAGACTCGGTCAGACCAGCCGCCCCCCTCCCCCCTCTATCCCCCCCCCTCTATCCCCCCCCCCGGGTGGCCGGTAGCGGGAAGTGGGCTGGACCGGGGCCTCGACAGCCCGTCGGCGGCTGACTGGCTGTGTGTCGAGCGGCGTTCATTGGGTGCCCCAGGGCACACTGTTTGTCCGGCGGTCTGATATGGACCGTCATTTCGGGGCCAGTGAGTCGACCACTCGAGTGGCGGGCGAGCGGCTGGTGCTTTCATGGTACGGTGAGGATGTACTGGTGGTACTCCATGGTATGGATGGTACCGTGGGATGGCAGGCTGGTACTTTCATGGATAAGGCTGGTATGTCTGGTACCTATGGCATAGAATGCTGGTGCTTTTACGGTACGGTGGAAATGGAATTTGAACCGGGTAGTTTTCACGATACCGAGACAGCCAATGCTGCAATGGTGTCGCAAAGTCCTGTATTTTGTCCCGTAAGTTCTGTATTTTGTATAATTTATATCTTCCATTTTTCCTTCCTAGATAAGTTGATTTCGGTGGAGATGACGGGGTGAGTATGGTATAGCAGGTGAAGACCTGACCTTTCAATACAATTTGAAAAGGCATCATTAGAGTTGATCAATGATTCCTTCTTCTTACCCTATGTAAGATCCGCCCAACCGATTTCGTCTGAAACATTGAAACGATCCAATATTCACTGCGAACATTTTTTAATGGAAACTTGCGGGCGCACTGCTGGACGGGCAGTACGGGACAGTCTGTCACCATGCGGTAATGTCTGTCAACACGCGTCTCTGAACCTCGGAGCCGGCATCCCAGACAGCACATCCCGACAAACACAATGGACCACAACACAAACAGTAAACACCATGCAAACACAAACACCGCGTCAGCATTTATGTCGTCTGAGTCAAGGATTCTCTCTATAGACTTAACACCAGGGGGAGGCACTCGCCTTGGCCGTATATGGGCCAGAATGTCTAACGGTTTCCGCCAGGGTATATTGAACTAGGGGGTAGGACCAAGTTTAGTAGGCATGATCTCAGCAATTATTTTCTTTTATATGGCGGTTTTTATTATCACAATATTATTTTTGATATCATGAAGTTTGTATATCTCGGTTTTACGAAAAATAGTAGGGCAACAAAGATAAATTTCGCGAAAAAATAATTTTAGTTGGAAACATCCATTCTGGTATGCAAAATTCAGTATGAAGCCCAGTATATTGACCGTCTAGTGTGCTTCCAAAGCTGAGTACCTGATATCAACAGGAGTTGTTTACTATTTTGCCTTACGTTGCTAGGTGGTTGCTAGGGAGCTAAGGATACTCTCTTGCGCGATCATTTGCACTTATTTTTCCTCATTATATTGACATATGGCTGTTTCTGAGACCTAACTCATGCTAAGAAAAAAGCAGTTTTCTTAAAATGTGTATTTAAGTGCCGTAGTATTAACACAGCTCTGCAATTCGGCTTAAATATCTACAAAATCCTGACTTCCCGGAAAATTGTTGGTGGTGATGGGGATCGAGCCCGTCGATGAAAAGTAAGTCAATATTCAAAGGCTTCAAAACGTTATTTCTTGTTGTTCTGTGAAATAGCAATGCAAAGACCGATGATAGTGCCAGTGTTGAGCTTTCCAATGACGCATTGCAATTAGTAGCAAGGTTTTTATCACCTAAGATATCTTCCATCAAATATTAAAATTCTGCCATTGTCTTGCTGTAGAACAGGGTTACTTTCAGTCTCTTGGGAACACGATTTGCCGGTCTCAGATAGAAAAACACTTCAAAAAGCGGTAATAGACAATGAAATTCCCAATCTGATAGCATCTCGGGTTTTTATGTATCCTGTCTAGAATTTTCATAAACCAGACGTAAAAATGGCCAATTTCGTCAAATTCCGAATTTTTGCCATCGGGTCTAATGTAAAGCACGGCTACTTTCAGTCTCTTGGGAACACGATTTCCGTACCTCAGATTGAAAAACACTTCAAAAGTCGCAGATAGTAGACGATTTATTCTACAAGATAGCATCTCGCTTTTTTCTGTATCTGGTCATGTATCTTCATAAAACCCTCTCAAATATAGTCAATTTAGCATTAAAGTCTATGGATTTAGTAGAATTTTCATATCCGACTAGATTCGGGCTACCATGTCTGTTGACCGGGGGCCGGTTTCCGCCATGTTGTGCATACCAAAGTCTTGAAAAAATGATCACTGCAATCAAACTGCAAGCATGAAGCAGCAGCACTTTTGAGTAGTGTACCTCTCACTTAACTGCACCTCTGCTACCGTACATGCAATTTATATTTCTGGTATACACAACATGGCGGAAATCGATAGACAAAAACAAGTCACCAATGCTCCTTCCAGTATACAGGGTGATCCAAAAAATTTGGAACCCCTAATTTAAAATGTCTATAAGTTCGAAAGTATTCACTTTATTGACAAATTGCGAACTCCATTAGAAAGAGCAGTAAATTCTCTATAAAATAACGTCAAGTTGGTGCATGTTTGTTGTTAAGCATTGGCACACTATTAGCTTTTGGAATGAGCGTCAGAAAACTGAGTGAAACGAAATCGCCAAATTTAACAATGCGCTGAAATCCGTTAGCACTCGATCTGTTGTCTTTTTGCGAATAACACCACTTCCAAATTCAATTTTATTTCATAAAAGTTAACACAGAAGCACACGGTAGAACAGATACACGCGTCCTAACTTCCGCTGTTTATCACAGCATGTGCTCAACGCGAGCTCCGGGGGCCGTCACGCAGACCTGCAGTTGCTTGGGGACAGCTCCGACTGCGCGGGCCAGCAGTCTCTGGGACAACTGGTCCCAGCAGGCCGTCAGCCTTTCCTTTCCTTACAATAGCACGTGAATGAGCTATTTTTATTGATGAACCTCCAACAAGCGACAAGGTCAGAACAGCAAACCGTCAATCACTGATTTGCGCATAATGCTCAAAACCGTTTCACTGAGTTTCGTGACACAAATTTTATAGGCATATGTCTAGGGCAATATTTATAATAATAAGTAAGTACAATCAACTTGGTTTTATAGAGAATTGAACGCTATTTCTAATGATGTTTGCAATTTATCAATCAAGTGAAAATTTCCTGACTTACAGACATTTTAAGTTAGGGGTTCCAATTTTTTTGGATCACCCTGTATATTAGAGTTCAGTGCTTCACACCGGGGCGGCTTCCTGCCTAACCTGCGAACACAAGTCTCGTGACGTGATGTGTGGCGCACTTCCTCCGTGCCGCGATAGGCGCCCTTCCTGTGACCGTGGAGGCGGCGACATCCTGCCGTCCAGGGGACAGGACGGTGACCGTGGTGAGCCGGCAGAGCGTCTCTGGCGATCAGCGGGTCAGGCCGCGCTGGCCGTGCCGCTGACCAGGCGAGGTCACGGGGTTTCACGCGAGGGCACGGAGTCCCCACCCGCCATGTGTCCCACAAGAGCGTGGTTTGTGTGGAAGTCGGTCGCGCTGGGTGTGGTGTTGGCGTGTGCCTCGGCAGGGGCGAAGAACTGGCAGGATGACTGCGTGTTCAGTCCGAGCGCCGAGAACGCCGTCAGCGCCGAGTGCGAGTTCAGGTCGATCGAGGTGAGTACCTACTCGAGTAGGACTGGGTGTGATGATGGGGGAGGCTTGCGAGGATAAAAGTTGTGAAGGAGATGGTCTGTTTTGGGCTCCATTATTTATGATAGTGGGGATGGATTGTGCATGAGTGTTTTTCAGGCTATATTTGGCTGTCACATGGAGGTCACATTGTGCAGGCACTCAAAATAGATATGAAAGTGATGTGGTGATCCAGATTTAAAATGAAATGAAATGCTGATTCAGGTAGGATACGACCGGCCTTTCTTTCTCAAAGTGGTGCTGGAAACGCCCATGTTGAATCTATTTTTTTTTTTAATGTACCATCCAATGTGACATTTTGTCAGCTTAAACATGTTTTCTTGGAAACCTTCCAAACGGGGCCTTCTGAGGCCACCCTCACAAAAACTTTGATTTTTCTACCCATACAAGTATTTCGCCGCAACATTTATGTGCAGGAAGTAATTTTGTCGAGCAATGCAGTATTGTGAAGCATATCGTTAGCCAGGGTAGCTTCCTCTTATTTCCATCTGATATTAATCTTTATTTTCTGAACACAGCAATTACATTTTTCTTTGTGTTTTTTTCAGACACATATTCGGTTGGACAAACCATCGTCAATTGAATCACTTCGCATCACCAGAGGACGAAATCTGTTCCTAGATGAAGGCGTTCTTGCAAGTTTCACGAGTCTCCGGAGCATCTATATAACAGGCATCGACATTTTGTCTATTCGCCGCAACAGCTTGGTTTCTGTCATAGAACAAAGAGCCATTGAACTCGCTGTTGAACAGGTGGATATAGTGGCTTTGGATCCGGGAGCCTTGTCTGACTGGCGTCATCCCGAATCAACAATATCCATGAAGAGCATTCGGCGACTCTCTATCTCGAAGCAAGGCTTGGCGCCCAACTCTACATTCAAGGACGTGACTTTTGAGAATATTCCAGTCCTTTACATGGAACCGGTGGCTATTCAGTCCAGAATTGGGCAGCTGAAGCTACAGAACTTATCCCTTTCGGTCTGTATGAAAGATGCCTTCAGTGGCCACATTGGACACTTATCCCTCAGTTCCGTCTCCAGTGATAACGTCAAAGAAAGCTGCATCAGCGCAACGTCCGGGTGGAAGAGTATATCGGTACGCTCCAGCCGCCTAAGTTATATCGAAGCATCCGCTTTTCACGGATCCGTCGAGAACGTCCTGATCGAGACCAGCTCTCTGGGTGACGTACAGCCTGGGGCATTTGAGCTGACAGTAGCTCGATTCTCTCTCGCCTCATGCGACATCGATAATCTCGGTGAGCTCGCTCTCAAAGTGAAAGCAAATCAATCCATTTCTCTGCACAGTCTTCAGGTAAACAAGATGCAGGGGAACGCACTACAGGGTCTGACTATCCTTCAAGACGACAGCCATCGCAGACCTGACGACGAACTTCCTCAGGTGTGTCTCAGCGCGTTGACAGTGAACGATGCCTCCGAGGACGCTCTGACTCTGTCGGAGGACTCTCCTGTGTCTCTGTACGGTCGCGTGTGTCCCTCCGAGGCGGTGGCGGCACGGGAGCACACGCAATGCATCGGGGAGAAGAGCCCGGCGCTGGTATCCATCGGCGTCTTCAGAGAGCGGTGCTGCTCTGACGATCTGGGCAGCAAGTCGCCCGCCTGTCCGAGCTTGGCGTGGGTTCCCTACCTGGCCGCAGCTGTGGTGCTCGTCGTCCTTGTGCTGGTTGCGTTCTTCTGCTACAGGAGACAGCTGCGTGCCAAACGATGGCAGGTGGCGCGAAGAACGGAACATAATAGCCTCAGCATCGTCCCCAGTGTGAGAGGCCTCGGAAGGGACAAACTCAACCCCGGTTCACCTAACCGTGCCGCTGCCGCAGGCAGTGGTCCCGGAAACATGAGTGATGCCAATAGCCCGGAAGACGTCTTTGAAGAGGCTGAAGGACGGGGAGAACGGGGAGATTCAGGCCCACTTGCAAGCTGGCTTCAAACACTCCGAGAGACAGTGCCCCGACTGTCAGAGGGAGGCTGTCCAGAGACGCTGGAGATGCTGGAAGCTGGTGGATGTAGTGAGCAAGGACCTTCTCAGAAAACTGCTTTGCGAAACAATAAGTGTCCTAATGTCCAGGCTGAATCATCAGGTGAAGAGGCTGGGTCAGACACCGAGTCCGTTCTTCATGAGAGCACACAACATTCCGAAGCCGGGAAAGGCCAGAATTGGAAGCCAACTACCAGCACAGATCCGCAGCATTCCATCGAGAAAGACGCGCTAGACGAAGCTGTCCCCGAAGTGACTGTGACTGACGCAGACAACTGTCATCAGAAGAGTGACGAGGGTGATGGAGCTCATCTCTCCCATAAAGTAACGAAGAAGGCACCACAGTCCAGTAACTCGACCTTCGGGTCCAGCAAGGCGTCCAAGCAGCCATCCGAATCGAAACAAGAAATGCCAGTGTATGCGACGTCCACAAAACAGAAGCCTTCTCATATGACAGGTCAAATTTCACGCCAACTTTCCGCTTCCTTGGAGGTGCTATCAGCTCGCACAGATTCCTCCCAAAACTTCCACGAGGGGGACAGTGCCATCCCTTCCAGAGGCGCCTGCACTACGCCTTCTGTGGGAAAACCCATGACCTCGGGACGACGACCAACTGAAGTTGAGTACGCCGAGGTTTTCAACTCACTGCCCAGGGTGCCTAACACCGATCCGGAGCACCGCCGTCGCAGATCGTCCGTAGATTCTAACCTCTACTCAGACGTCTATCAAGCTCTAGGTACGGATGTGCGCTACACTCCAGATCGTCGTGGACCAAGAAGAAATTCGGCTGACCGCGATGAAGTGTACGACGACCTGCTTGACACGATGAACTCAAACCTCGGCCAGAGGCAGATGGCATTGGCTAGAGATGTTTTTCAAGGAGGAGCACCGTTGATGCCATATCCTGAGCACGTCGCAGAACATGTGCTGCCCCACTTGGGCAGGGGGGACATGCAGGGCGGTGCACCATCTCACGGCCCGAGACTGGTCGAGTCTCCTCTTTATGTGGGCGCTGATGGAGCAACGCCGATCAGTAGCTACTGTACGGTACCTCGGAGTAGATATGTCTATGTGGAGAAGTCTGAGAGAGACCATCCAGATCCTGGGAGAGCCGGCACAACGACTCGCGCGAGCTATCTCTACGCTGAAATTTCAGATTTTGCTCCATCTGTGAGACAGAGCCACGGACAAATCCCCACCTACGCGACAGTTTCGAAAACTCGTCGGCAGCCAAAGCACAGCGATGACCACAAGGCCAAAGGCTGGTCTTCGTGGAATCCATTTGCAAAGAAAAATCGCGGAGAAAAGGTCGGAACTGAGAGGCACCGGAGGCGCGCTAAATGAGCTCTGCGATGTCAGCCGCCGAAGGTGGTGAATTCACCACGGATGCAGAACATTCAGTTGAGCCTTTTCTACTAGCTAAGTCTACAGTAGATATTTTCGCGTCGTTAATGCATTGAGTGAGGCTTTAAGTTGTAGCATACTCAGCGGTCGGTCAAATGTGTGGCTGTTTTCTGATATATCTGTGCTAGTTGTGCAGCGAAACGCATTTTCTCAGCTGGTGAAATACATTAATGGGTGGCATGCTTTGTCATTAGGTCTGCTGATCTGAGTATTCTTGCTTTTTAGTATGTTTGTTTCTTCCACCATTCATTTTTCGCCGTGCATGAGCCTAACTCTTCTTTATTCTTTCATGATTATTCAGCTTATTTTATTGTTCAGTTCATTTTTCGAAGGCTGAAACATGGCATAATCACTGCTGACATAAATGTGGTCTTTTGATGTTCTTATTTGTTTATACACAGCATCGATTCGGTTACTGATGGCCATGGGTAGTGGGAGTGGGGGTGGGATGGGAATGGGGATGGGGATATGATGGGGTGGAATGGGAGTGGGGGTTGGTTAAAGTAAATACATTTTTACATTATAAGGAATAGAAAAGACATTTTGGTTCGCTCCATGTCGAGCAGTTACCCTCTCCCCCACCCTAAGTTATGAGCGCCGATATGCTTGCAATCCATCTAAAGAACCATCAACTATTATTTCTGCAAATATAATCATAAGCAAAAATAAAAGACCCGTCGCTCGTACTATCTGCATTCGCTTCCTCTGCACATCCTTGATCACGCACCGGTCATAGTCAGTCCATGCGGTCGAAACGTGACTCCAGTGACGTCAGACTACGCTCCAGTGATGTCACGGAGTGCCTGTCGCCAGTCAGTCTGGCTAGCGTCAGATGAACTCAGCGAGAATTAAGGGAAAGAAAAGAGAACGCACTGTGGGGAACGGAGTGAAGAAATTTGCCAACTGGTCAAAAATCAAATGGTATATTGAATTATGTGTAAAGAAATGTGAATGATTTAATTGCATATTCGTACAGTCAACAGCAGTCTTCATTGGTTAATCAGCGTGTACGTAATGTTTTTTTTTTCTATTGTCAATGTCTCTTTCGCAAAACTGCAAATATGGTAGCGATGGATATTTATTTTACGTCCCCGCGCAGTCTAACCCTAATCAGTGCACTAAGCGTGATCCGACTAGAAAGGAAAAGCGACCGCGATGACTGGCACGATCTCAGCACGTGGCCGCGGGATCACGTGCACGTGGCACGTGCCTGATGACACACGAGTAGCCCCCAGCCGAGCTGGACGAGCCGTCCTCAACATAGGGTACGTTGAGCGGCACCAAACATGACCTCTGACCGCGGCGAGCAGTGCGGTGTTTCCATATCAGAGAGTTCAGTGGTGTTTTCAGTGAACACTCTATTTATAATGTATGCTAGTCTCAGGCTTCCAAGAGCTTCAGCAATGCGACTTTCATTAGTTTATGTGAAGGAACAAAATGTATTAATGATTTCACTCCGTTTAGTTATGTTGTATTTTGCTCTCTATGAAATAAGAAACCCACTGTTGCACCTGCCCCTTGCCGAGATTCTAGATGTTAAGCATCGCTCTATTGAGTCTGTTCCTTGACCTCAAAATGCCAACATTGTACGCAATTGTACGTACAATGTCACTGCATTTTGCAGGTGCCGTGAATGCTTGCCCTCCCCCCCTCCCTCCCTCGTGATCCCATGATGTTGCAGGTTATTCATACACAGGGTTTTGGTGATGTTTATGTGACAAGTGAGTTATAGCTACATCAGTCTTGTAAAGCCGCCGCATACTTTCCACTATGGATAAAACGCAATCAACATGGAATTTTCATTCTTCATAGAACTTTAGCACACGGACGTTGAATAATGGTGCATGTTTCGAATTGAGCCTGGGATGTCCGAAAAAAACAGGAATAGATGATAACCTGTAGTCGTTAACCCGCGATGTTAACCCGCGCCCCACTGGGGTCTGTGTGTAACACGCCCTACTGGGGGGGGGGGCTATTCATAGCCCCCCCTCCTAACTCCGAAACTACTGGGCCGATCGTCAAAATTCAAACGGTGTCTGATAGCCCCGGAAAAACTGTCGAGCGAAACCTAATTTCATTGACCTCGAGGTCACCGATGACGTCACAGGTCAGGTCAAAGTAAAAATTATTAGCACTTTGGCTTGTTCACATTTTGGGCTCTGGCCGCCGTCTTACAAGTCAGATCAGGCTCATTTTTGGTTTCCACACTCGTGAACAGATGCTCTAGATACATTGAGGGTACCAAACTTGTACTTTCATTTTCAGGTCAGGGTCAGGTCATCACAGGTCACGAAAATATTATATCATGCGTCGGTCACGTGACACATGTTTTATGGTCCATTTAGGCCATAGACTTCGAATTTGATGTCGTCTATGTTATTCGAGGTCATTTTGAGTCGAATTTAGCTTAGGTCAGGTCACTTTCAGGTCAAAAAAGGTCAAATTTTGAAGTTGAAATTTTTCAACAAAAAAGGTGTGTATTGGATGCAGTTTGAGCTCAGGAACACGATGGTGCCATTTATATTGGTGTTAGATGCCAAATACGTACTGAAAAATTGATTTGAAAAATTAATAATTGTGAATTTTTTGCAATAATGCGTATAACTTGGCCATTTTTGAAGATATTTAGCTAAAACTTGCTAGAGTTAGTCATAATCATGCGTTCTGTCACATATATTCCGGTTTTTTTCGAAAAGTCAAAAACTTTTTGAAAAATATATAAAAATATAAATTTGAATATTATTATATAAAATTTTCGAAATTTTCAAAAGTTTGAAAATCCGAGATAGCAGTTTGATAGCGCGGTCAATTCTGAGTTCTTTCATGCAAAGAAATTGGATCTAGCTTAAAAACTGAGCTCTTGGGAGCGATTGCCGTGGTTCAATGTTTTGCGTCGAAATCGGACGAACATGACGTCACTCTGACGTCATTTCCGGCCGACCTATGGTAGCTACGAAGTTCAAATTTTGACACAAGGTGTCAAATTGATGCAGCCGAAGGTACTGAAAGTTTGGCGTCGATCTGTCAAGCGGTTTAGAAGTTATTGCAGAAAAACGGGAGGGGGGGGGGCTATAAATAGCCCCCCCCAGTGGGGCGCGGGTTAACTCTCGCCCATGTAGGGGGGGGGTTGGTGCAACCCCCCCCCTGAGGCTTTTCGGAAATAGTGCAAAAACAGCGGCGCGCAGCGCCGCCAAATTTTAGGTATCTTATGGGGCAAACCTTGCGCATCTTTTGATAAAAAAATTTGACCGGGTCATGTCAGGTCACGGAGTTATGACGTCACAAAGGGAACAGCCTCCGGCCGGATTTTCACAAACTGAGTGCCAACGCCCGAGGTTTCCTGCCGGTGGTACGGACATCGGTTGATGGATCGTGATGAAACTTCCCATGCATGTTGGTGCAAGTATTGGCTATCATATGGTATAAGAAACTTGACCGGGTCAGGTCAGGTCACGGAGCTATGACGTCACAAGAGGAACAGCGTCCGGTACTATTTTTGAAAAGCGCCCGAACCACTATTTTGCTAATTCTTGTCACCTCAATGGGAATATGCAGCAATATTAGCTTCTATAGGGAGCAAATGGACCTCCCAAATCCAAAAATACAATCAGATTTCAAAAATTTAAATTTTGATTTTTCGAATTTCTGCCGCCGACTGTGACCTTGCCGACTTCCGGCGCTCCCAAAGCGCCATTTTTAGAGCTAGGGAAACGAAATACATACCAAACGATAGAGAATTGATCAAGGAACACGATAGTGAAGGTTTCAAGTCGATATCTCCCACCGTTTTGCCGCAATTGCCGCGGAAAGTTAAAAAAGTCTTTTTTCCGAAAATTTGACTTTTGACCGGTCAAAAGTAGGTCAAATGTTGACCTAGGACCAAAAAATATACCACCAATCGCGAGATCTCGGCGAGAGCAATCCGTTGGTCTTTCCCGCTAAGTTCTACGACTCTCCGTTTTCAAACGCCAAGGGGGGGGGGGGTCGCACCAACCCCCCCCCTGCATGGGCGAAGGTGGCAGATCGCCGTTTACGGGCGAGGGTTAATTTCTGTTAACCACTGTTGCCGAGTTAAGCTAGGCAATTATGCGTGTTTTCATAGCCTCAGTCTCAGTTTAAATCCTAAGTCCGCTACTTCCGACGCCAGTTCTCATTCACATATGAGTTAACCCGCGCCCCGTAGGGGGGGGGGCCGAAACGGCCCCTCCCTGTCCTTTTCGGTCGATATCTCCTAAACGGCTGGAGATATCGCCACCAAACTTTCAGGACCCCTCCGGGCATCAATTTTACACATTGTGACCAAAAATTTTTCCAGAGGCTATGATAGGTTGGCCACAAATGACGTCAGAGTGACGTCATGTTCTGTCATTTTCGACCGAAAAAAGACCTTCGCGAGAAGACCTGTCAGGACTACAGCTTTGAAGATACAGAAAAATGATCAAGACATAAAAGGTGTAGAATTGACAGGGCTACAAAACTGCTATCTCGAATTTTAAAAATTTTTGAGTTTTGACCCCCAAAAATCAAAAAAGCATTTTTTTGGATATATTCGCCAAAAAATCCAAAAAGTTTTTTGAGTTTCGAAAAAACCGGAATATATGTGATAGTGCCTACCGTCTTCTATCTACATACCAAATTTCAGATCGATACCTCGTTTTTTGGCCAAGTTATAGCGAAAAAACTGTTCAAAAATGATGACGTCAAATTTTCAAACTCAATTTTTGGCAATTCTAGAACTCGTAGAGCAAAACGAAGACCACCATTAGACTCCCCGTGACGAGCTGCATCGAATCGATACCCATTTTATGCAAAAATATCAACTTTGAAATTTGACCTAATTTGACCTGACCTTGACCTGACCTTCACCAAAACGTGACCTAGGCTGGCCCCAAAGGCTGCCTAACCCACATAATCGCATTTGCCATGTAAAATGGACCATAAAACATGTATCACACGACACATTCATATTGTGACCCCCGGTGATCTGACCTCGCTGTGACCTGACCTGGTATCAGTGACCTCAGATAGCAAAGTATGTGTTTGACGAACAATGTACCATCGATGGTTTTCAATAAATTACCAATTTACTCGCTTTCACAGCACATTTCTTGAATTGCCTGTGAACGGTGAAAATCTGACCTTTGACCTGACCTGTGACGTCATCGGTTTGACCTAGGTCAATGAAATTTGGTCACAAGGTAGTTACCGGGTGGGGCTATCGAACGCCGTTTGAATTTTGAAAATCGGCCGGTAACTTTCCGAGATCTTAGGGGGGGGGGGCCGAAACGGCCCCTCCCCTACGGGTGGTAGGGTCCGCCGGTAGCCCTACGGGGCGCGGGTTAAAGCATTAATGCCACGTCTCTCATCTCACACCAGAGAAGTATAAAATGGCTGAATATGTATTTGAAACAGCTGGTTTGTGTCACCAGCAAGCAGCATAGAAACAGACATTCCTTAAATAGCATAATAAATAGGCGTCTATAATGTACAGTTATACCAGCACTAGGAACTCACACACCCAGACGCGCACACAGACACACAAACGCCGACGCTGAACACTTGGACAGTGCATGCAGAGATCGTACAGTCATTGTCGCCGCTGCCTCGGGACACGCTCCGGCTCGGCCCTTACGAGACCGACACGCAGGGTCAGAACGCGCTCATGGTGATAGGTGTCTGGAAGAACTGCTCTCACGTGCCAACGGATCGATGGTTTGAGCGACGCCGGGAGTCGCCGGAGTAAGATCGAGCGCGATCGTGTGATCACGCTTTCGGTACAGTAGACGCTGAGAGGAACACAAATGAGAAGAGTTCGCGCACGTGAAGACACAAAGAGATAGAGACCCGCTCAGAGATGCTGTATGAGCTCGATGCCCACCACGTTCGATATGCCCCAGTTGCGATAAGGCCCGATAGGTGGTTCGAGTTCAGTTACTGTCTTTCGCTGTCGAAGAGGTCGCGATGAGACACCGAGACCGAGCGACGCTCTAGCTGCCCTGACACCATTGTCCTAATGAGATCGTGCGGTCGTCTCGGCGCATCGCGACCGAACAGGCGAGCGACCCGAACACCGGCCTCCTCCCCGAGACACAAGACACGAGAGAGGGCCCGACCCGCCCCTCCGCCGGCCACGCATGCCGCGCAAAAGTGGACCAAAGTGCGCCTCGACACGTCCGGCCGTCACAGCAGGCTTGGACCGCACAAAGAAAACAGGCAGCCGCTTTGAAAAAGCCAGGAGGATCATGGCCCGTACCCGCCAACCAACCAAACAAGAGTGTCCGTTTGCGGTGCCACAGATGGCCCTGTCAAACGAGTGACGTCAATGGGAAGGATGTGACAGTAACGGCGCACCCGGGTGCGCCGTTTTCGGTGTCACACCCGCCCAGTAACACAGCACAGGAGGCAGCGCGGTGGCCGGGGCAGGCCGCCGTGCGTGGGCGTTCCAGATGTCCGCGGGGAGCGGTCGCTAGGCACCCCAGCGACTCGTTGACACTCCCTGAAGACCTTTGGACCCCGCGGCGTGGCTCTGGCGGTAGCACGCGCACACGCACCGACCGCCCGGCCACGCGGCCGCTCAACAAAGGAAAATAAACACGTCCCGGATGCATGTGCGCTGTCGTGAAGGGAGCTGACGTCTTCGGGGCTTCTCCCGCTGCCGGCCGGACTTGGCAGCACCCGAGGGAGTCTGGACGAGATCGGTACGAAGTTAGTCGCGCCTCTGAAAGGCCGATGAGGTCGCGGCGCCGGGTGGTGGATCCTTTCAGACGGCGAACCGCTTTGAAGTTATGAATGAGTCGTCGCTGCCGAACGCCAGGAACTTTTCGCACCATTCCCGGATGCCGTCCGTGTCGCTGCAGCACATGATGAAGGCGTCGTCGGAGCGACTCTCTTTGGCGCACCGTTCGCACGTCATTCGTAGGCGGGCCTGCAACAGAGAGAGACGAGACGTCAGGTCAAGGGATCAAGTCAGACGCTTAAGTCAGGCGGCACGTAAGGTCGGAGGTTGAGCTTAGGTCAGACGGTTCGTTAGGTCAACCACTGAGGTCAGGACAGGTGTCACCCTAGGTTAGCGATTGAAGTCAGGTCAGTTGGCACGTAAGGTCACTAGCTTAGGTCAGGATCAGTTTTGCCATGGCTTCATTCCTCTGGAATCTTCACCATATACTTCATGAATCGACTGTCAATTTGCCCCGCCATATAACTGCATGTGTGTTGTTTCCATGGTAACTGCTACAGAGTCGTTATGACCTGAACCCAACCGTTTGTCATCCGGCACGCAGATTATAACAAAAATAACCCAAATCCGGCCGAGTAAGCTGAACGTCGACTACCCGTGACGCATCCTCGGCTCGGCGCGACATCCCGAAACACGAAGGGCAGCCGGAAGCGGTGGCATGCAGGCCGGCATCGGACGGAGGTCACAGCATCACCCGAGCATGACGAAACGCGGCGGTTTTTGGGGTTCAGGCCAGCGCACACAGCTGTATCACGCAACACGGGATGGGGAGCAGGGTTGGAGTATGATGAAACGGTCAGGGAGAAATGGGGTACGGGACCACAAACATTTCGGGGAATAGTCCGTGATGTTGTTGCGGATGAGTAACTCCTTTTTATCAAAGTTATTGCATCAGATAGTTTATGCGTAGACAACACTAACAATAAATAAACTTTTAAATAAGACAGCGAACCGTAGAAAAAAAATGTGTAAAGGCGGTAGGATGATTTTGTTTTACCTATAACTTATGTGCTTCTTCTAGTTAAAGCAAATAATCATGAAATGCTTGGCATTTGAGACAGACGTCAATATATGACCGATGGACGATCACTGACCACCAAGTAGAAGCTAATTGTTGGAAAAGCTTCGGACAAACAAGGCGGGTTGGAGGCGGGTCATTATCGATCGCCATAACCTCGCCCTCGCTCCGCCTCACCCCGCCTCCGTCGTGATCGCGACGTTCATTATTGGCGATAGCCTCTATTGGCCCATGGATATAGATGGCACCCTGTTGATGGCGGGACAGATGACCCCAAATCCCGGGAGCTCATAGCCCACAGCATTGTTGCCGGACGATACCATCAATCCAGAGTGGGCGGCAATTTCCGCCCCAGGGGTGACGCTATCGCGTGGGCGGTCAAGTGGTGCATGGGGCGAATCGAGACGAGAGAGGAGGGATGAGGGAAGGAGATGGACCGAGTCGAGATGCGTCATAAAATCTGCCATTGAGCTTCGTCGATTGTTTTTGTCTTCGAGTAATGGTATGGGGGTGGTGCCTAACGGATGATATTATGTATAGAATTGGGGAATATTTGGACCACACGAAGCAGAAATAAAGGTCACTGCCCACGCCATTCTTCGCTTAAGCAAGCTTTAATGAGCAATGGCACGGATCTACCTCTTGGCAAAGCTTGCTGCTTTTTGGGTAAGCTCGGATAATAAGAAAAGATAAGATATTTACTGTCATAAGCGCCTATCATGATAGTGGCGATATACAAAAGAAGCTAATAAAGGCGATCAACAATCTAAATATTAGACGAACATGCGCTGCCTGAGCTTTGTGAGCTTTGAAAGGACATTAAAAAATAAGGAAAGTAGATTTTAGAGACATTCTTATGTATAATTGGCCGGTCTTCTGCTAATAATACATACAAGCCGCCCTAATCACCGATCTCCCTACTATATCACCTTAGGGGTCGGGGCAGTATATGGGTGGTCTGTGCCCCGAAATAGTGCCTGTTTTCACGCTGTATGCCGTCGATAAATACTGGCCGAATCAGAGGCCAGAAGAGGGTCACCCGGTTAGGCAGTGACAACGATGGACGAAAATCGATTGGTGCGTCACAAGGGGAATGGTAGACAGAGGCCCGGGAGTGTGGGACAAAGGTAGTGCGCCGGTGGACCGAAAATGAAAAATGATGGAGATATTGATTTGATGCATGCTTGAAGCATGATTATAAAACCTAGCTCGGTATGCATTTTATATTTATTTCTGTTAATGAAGAAAAAGCAATATCTAAATATTTGTCCAGGTGATCCTGAGTAAGCATGCCTGACCATCACAGTAAGGTTTGATGAGCATGCCATTCTTGTTGATCAGATTTTGGTTCTCTCTCTGATACTCACCGATCGTTCGCAGTCTTGCAGTGATCTCCGGCGCATGAAGTTCTCGTTTCGGAACGGATGTGCGCTGGGGTACGAGTGACAACTCGACACTAGCGCCATCAGTACGATAGCGGCCAGCAGGAGAAGCTGCGCGATACACTGTGGGCAGACAGAGAAGGAGTTAGTTCAATGTTGTGTGCAAGGAGATCGCGTAGTGGAGGCATTACTCTCAGGTGGCGTAAATGGTATGAGGCTCTTAGTAGGTGGATGTGGGATACTCAGTGAACGGGATTTGTCGAAATAATTTGAAATCGCTGTGAGGGTAGGTACGCTGAAGACCTTTATCGCCCAAACATGGGTGAAATGTTAATGGTGTTGGAATTGATATATCTCATAATTATAATCCCATCTCATTCGAAGGGCGACAATATCAAACCATGGAACATAGTTCATTAGCAGAACAAACTAATATCATGATTTCGAGGAATACAATCAGTCGGCATTGTGACGGCCACGGGGGCTGACGAATTCATCCCACGCTGTGCCGTCTGACGATAAATCGTTTAAAGTTGTGGCTTTCTTACACCTCAGGGAGCTATAACTGCCAGACCTCGTCTGTCTATCTGTCTGTCTCAGACTTAGAACAACGAATTAATGGGGGTAGCACTGGGGCTGACTGGTGAGATGTCTGAATGTTTCAAATTCCCTTGTTCACGCTACGATGTTTCAAAATTCACAATTCAGTGATTCTTCTGATATTTTTGCCATTGAGGTTTTCAAGCTTAAAATAATTTTTTTCTTTGCTACTACTTTTGCATTCACCAAGGTAATCTACCGAGCTTACTCCTAAATAATTAATATGGAAATAAAACAAAGCATACCCCGATGGCTATATATGGTGCCGCAATCGCCGCGCGAATGATACTCCTTTTGGCCGCTACCGAGTGCGTCCATTATTGTGATGGATGAAGCACGCCGTAATGATTGATACCTCTATACTACTGATGGGCCCAGCGTGTTACGCATACCGCCCTCGGGGCTATGACTCGGTAAAATAGGACAGTGGAAATGGCTTACGTCTTTTATTGCAATACTACACGCAGTGCAATAGGAAAACATGATTAAAAACCATTATTTGAACATGTTTTTGTGTGGTAAGTTTTGATTTTGCTCTCACGTTTCTTCGCCCTCCCACCAAGTGATAAAATCAAATCGCACTCAGTATGTTACCCATCCTTTCTCTTCAACGTACAGGACAACTCCTGTAATAAGGTGATACGATTCAAGCAGTCTGCAATGTCGTTTTTTTAAAGCATAAATCACACCCACCGTAAAGCTGGCTACATAACTTTTGAGCCTTGCCAGCTCATTTAGTTTTTGTTCAGCCTTGACATAGAAATTATCTCGAGAAAGAACCAATCATGCCGCTGGTTGGTTATTACAACAGCTGCTTCATCTGATAACATCGATGGCAATCAATCAGAGGGACTCCTCAACGGACCTTCTGCGTATCGTGGGAAGCAATATGGGCGCCACGCCAGGCGTAGGGTGGACGCAGGAGAGAAGGTTCGGCTTTTGTCATGTGGTGAGATCGTACTTTTATACTTCATAGTGATCATACACTTAACGTGGGCAGAGAGCAATTCGTTTTCTCAGTGAACTTAAAAGTTGGTGGAAATACTCGGTACTAATTCATACGCAGTTGAATAAAATCCACAACTGTAGATGGTAGACGCACTGTATAGTTGGAATAAAAGTTCTGCTCAGTCGATTGTTCGAGAACAAGCGTAAATGCTTGGGAATCAAACACGTTGCATGCGTCGTATGCCAGGAGAAGACTGCTACAATCGATATGGATGTATGCTGTCCAATCGTAGTTGATACGTTCAGGATCATTATAGTGGAATTTAATAGCAATAACCGGAATAATAATGTAAAATACCGACCGCCGCAGCCGCGCCAAGCTCTGATGCCTGGCAGTTAGACTGTACCGCCAAGCCCGTGAGCGCTGCGGTACAGCCTACCGGTAACGGCGGCAGCTTTCACCGCTATGGAACCGGTATGAGTACGCGCACACTCATGGCAGTTTTCTTCTGAATGCCGGTATGCGGGCATCGATAGCTTTAACGAAAGCTGAAGTGACATGAACTGGCAATAAATGTTAGACGTTTTATTTATGTTTATTCATTTACATAAAACATGGGCGTAGGAACGTCATGAAAAGTGGATGGGCCACCCTGTCAAGGGGCCTCCTTTTCCAGGGGGCCTCCTATTTTCAGGGGCCTCCAACTTTTGCCTCATCCTGCTGGCTGCTTTCAAGTATGACCTCCAAATCTAGCTTCTGAGATCGGGCAGATGTACCCAGGGGCGTAACCGCTAAAGCGAACAATGCGGAAAGTCCGCACCATTTTTAAAACTTCTTCCCCCTCCGATTTTTTTTAGAATCTATTTGCCGCAAACGGCGCATGACCCCTGAAAACCCTTACACAAATGTCTTCCTCGTTTCCCAGGTGCCCCCATTAGCTTCATAGGCGCCCTCTTTGGCATATAAGCGCCCTATGTGCCTATAGTCATCAGAGACATCCCTATATGTCCCACAGTCGCCCCGTTGTCGCATACAATGTGCGCTTATCATAGGCGTCTCTCTCTTATGGACACTTGAAGGCCATGCTCTTTTGCCATGCCGGCGCCCCTGTTTCTTATGAATGCACCCCCATGGCATCGATCAATTGCAATTTGCAGACCTCTATTGCATGTGGACGCCCATATATGTAGGCCTCAGAGGCGCCCCTCTTTCGCATTGAGGCGCCCCTATGGGCTTCATAGGCGCCCCTCTATTGCACGTAGGTGCCCTACTGTCTCAGAACCGCTCCCCTTTGGCATGCAGACGCCCATCTTTCGTACGGAGGAGCCGCTGTGGTTCTTAGAGACGGCATGGTGCTCCCAGACGCAGATGGGGCTCTCGGTGTCGACAGTGTGGGACCTTCAGTCGCTGATGGGTGCCCGCCAGATGTGGACCCTCGGAGACGCCGGTATGGGGCCCTCAGAGATGCCAGTATGTGGCCCTTAGAGACACCGGTGTGGAACCCTCAGATACTTCAGTGTGAAGCCCTTACAATTGCTGGTGTGGAGCTATGAATGCGCTGGCTTAAATCCCTCAGAGGCCGGTACATGGACATTAGAGCTCAGTGAGAGTTTGCGTGGTGCCTTCAGTGGCCTTGTGGAGCCGTTAGACATCAACATGGTGCTCTCAGGAGCCGGTGAGTCCTCAGAGTCACCGGTGTGGGGCCTTCAGAGCTCCAAGATACTGGTGTGGGGCCCTCAGAGGTGTCGGTGTGGGTCCTTCAGATGTACATATAGAGCCTTGAGATGCACAGGTGTGGTGGCCCACAGAGGCGCCGGTGTGGGGCCCCCAGAGCCACCGATATAGGGCCCTAAGAGACACTAGTATGACCCTCAAAGGCGCCGCTGTGTGACGCTCATAACCACTGGTGTGGAGCCATCACAGGCGGGTGGAGCCGTTAGAGGCCGAAAAGGGCCCTTAGATGCCTACAAGGAGCCTTCAGAAGCCTGTGTGGCACCCTTATGGGGATAAGCGTGTCTACTTGGGAGCCCTTGAGGTGCTCTCATGAGCTCTGTAGGGCCCCACCGAGCCGAAATATGGCCACGGCCAGTTGCCGCCGCATGGCTCTTCGGACTATCATTCTCAGGGGCCTCATCTGCCTAGTTTGAATAGAAGGGCCTCTCAGACCATCAGTCTCATGGGCCTCCTCTGGCTAGTATAAATAGAAGGGCCTGTAAGACCATCAATCCTAGGGGCCTCTTCTGGTTAGTATAAATAGAAGAGCCTCTCAGACCATTGATCTCAGGGGGCCCCTGTGGACAGTATAAATAAAAGGGCCTCTCAGACCATCAGTCCCGGGGGCCTCCCTAGAAAAGTGTAAATGTGGATATAGAGGGCCCCCTCAGATTCATTACGAGTGGACCTCTCTGACTATCAGTCTCAGGGGCCTCTTGTGGCCAGTATGCATATAAGAGCCTCTCAGACCATCGGTCTCAGGGGCCTCTTCTGACTAGTGTGGATAGAGGGCCCTCCCAGACCACCGGTTTCAGGGGCCTCCAGTGGCCAGTTATATGAACAGAAGGGCCTCACAGCCATCAGCCTCGGGGGCCTCTTCTGACTGGTGTGAATATGAGGGCCTCTCATACCATCAGTCTCAGGGGCCTCCTCTGCCTAGTGTGAATATAAGGGCTTCCCAGGGCATCAGTCTCAGGGGACTCTTCTGACTGGTGCCGGATTGAGGGACCTCCCAGACCGAAAGTTTTGGGGTCTCCTGTGGCCAGTATGAATAGGTAGAAGGGCCTCTCAGTCCATCAGTGTCATGGGCCCCTTCTGCCTGGTGTGATTATAAGGGCCTCTCAGGTCATCAGTCTCAGGGGCCTCCTCTGGCTACAGTGTAGATGGATAGGCCTCCCAGACCATCAGTCTCAGGGGCCTCTTCTGACTATCGAGGATAGATGGGCCTCCTCTGACTAGTGAGGGTAGGGGGCCTCGGCTAGACCGCCAGTGTCAGGGGCCTATTCTGACTAGTGTGGATGGAGGGGCCTCCCAGACCAGTGTGGATATTGGGGCCTCCTCAGATCCACTAGGGCCTCTCAGGCCATCAGTCTCAGGGGCTTCGACTGATAAGTATGAACAGAGGGCCTCCTTGGATCCATCACGGCCCCTTGGAGTCCGTGCGTGGGGATTCGTGGAACTTATTTTTACCGAGTTTGTTTATTCTGGAAGGTGACGACCTCCTCTCAAATCGAGACGAGGGGCCTCGAGTAAAAAGTGGGTGGGCCAAAACACATGGTTGGCCCACCCACCTCGAAAAGTGGGTGGGCACTTGCCCACCTGGCCCCCCCTGTTCCTACGCCTATGAGTCATAAAACGTAAGCCGTAAGTGGTTAGTGGTATGAATGCGAATTCCATTCATGCCACAACACACTGTCAGACTCAGAACCAAATGTTTCTTTCACCGTCGGATTGAGCACTCGAAGCCTGCAGCCTAGCGTGCATGCTGTCACATACTCTAAGAAGATAATCGAGATATCTAAATATATCCTGAGATTAACGCCCGAGCTGGCTTTGTCTGTAGCCGACACAATTACGAACCGCTTGGTGATGCCATCCCTGTGCTGACAGAGAATTATCGCGCTACAGAATTGGAACGTTCGCACACTGTCTGATGTTTATGGTGATTGCCTGCACACACCGTTGAGATAGGCTGCTGACTGAAACTGGATGCTGACGTCATGAATTAAAAATCTTAAATTTATGAAACAATTTGTTTGTCGGGCGAATATTGCACTGAGCTTTTCGTGTATTTTATAGATATCTGTTATTTTTCAAGATGTTTTCCACTTACTTCATGTATAGGACGTTTAAGTTCGTTTGGAAATGGTAGCGGCAGGTGCCAAGGCAGCTGGGTTAAAAGCGAAATATTCTTGCAATCACATTTGTCCTTTGATACATTTCAATTTATTTGAACTTCTCAAATGATAGATGTGGAATACATATTGATTGATTTTAAATGAGCGAATGCTTAAACGAATATTTTTCAACTTCTGGAACCACAGAAAAACATTGAATGATAAACTTAATGTAACAAGAATATGTTTGACACTTCGTAACCATGCTACTAAATAGAAACAGCACAAGGTTTGCAAGATTGAATAGAAAACAAGAACATTCCGCGTACATTCCGCTTACATTCCGTTCCGTCTGCTCCTGTATTGGTTGGCACAATGGAGACGATAAGTCGATATAAGGAGTGACAAATATTACACAATTCATCGTCAACGTCCAGTGAGCACAGAGTCAGACGGAAACTAAACCACTTGTTTGAGCTGCTTTGTGTTCGCATTGGTTTAAACTCGAAAAAAATAGTTGCAGTCAATGAGCGTCCCTATTTCATGTGTATGAAACACGGTACCTTGAAATGCTTCACGAACATCGCGATAACTGTAGTACCAACGATACAATACGTGTGAACATTTCATTCGAGAGTTCCAGTCAGGCAGCCTGGATGAGGTTGATCTTATGCATCTTCAATGTTTGAGAGAATTGAGAACTCGGAGCTATGAGCCAATAGCGAAAAGGGGCAGATAATGGCACCGATGCTTTTAAAACAGTCTCCAACCATCACCCCTGCCTGCTAGTTGATCCCAATTTCTGTCTTGAAAAGGCTTTAGCTCTGACAAGTTTTGTCTTTACTAGGATAATAGCGATACAATGTCATTCACATAACGCAGCATGTAGTATGAAATCATGCACATTGCACATACCATAAATAACATGATTGATGTTATCTATGGCTATGCACATACATAAAAGAACACCGAACACTGATGTTCTTACTCTAAGGCATCTCCCCGATGTAGATTACAATTAGCCGTCTTCTTTACACACTTTTCTTCAAAGCCACCCCAGGTTCGATCCTTACCTGTCTGTCAGTCATGTTGTGTAGTGTGTTCAGACGGATGTCTGGGCCACTGAGGGTGACCGGCGGCTGGCTTCCGGCGCCACGAGCTGCTGTTCTCTCACTCCGCTCGACTGGCCAACTGACCTGGCGCTGTCCGGCGCGGCCGTCTTCAGGCCGACAGGACACGCCCACACCGCCGTGACGTCATCGGAGGACATGTGGGAGGAGGCGGCCGCACACCGATGAATGGGCGCCGGTGTGACCTGGCCGGGTCGCGCGCCCGGGGGAGGGGGTGGGGGGGGGGGGTGTTGCGTGAGACAGGGCTCATGTTTCGAGGAGCGGTGGGCAGCGGCGGGTGAGGGCCACGTGGTGATTCCGGCGCGTGCGGCGGGTGGTATAGAGAGGGGGGGGGGGGGGCTCCGGAGGTGACGGAGGGAGAGGATGGGGAGGTGGAGGATGGGGGCCGGCCGGGTGACGATCGGTGGCCACTGGCCACGCCAAACGTGCGCTGTCTCAAGTGTTCACTGATTACAATGAATGGTCTTCAACGTGCGGCGACCTCGCACATGCCTGCAGGAATGAACGCACAGGGCCACAGGGGTCTTTATAGTATCGCGGAAATGGTGAAGAAAAAAGTTAGGATCCATCAGATGCAGAGATAAGTTTTTGAGATGGGAAATGCTGCACCGCGAAATGATGTTACTTTAAACTTTTCGCTTAAAAGAAAAACGTACTGTTGCACAACATTGATAAAATTGCTTTTAAAATGCAGCTTTGGTGCATGCAGCCATGTTGGATCATTTGTAATCATTACATCATTATTCAATTAATGAAGGATATGAGAGTCGACCAGTTGCATGTTAATGTTAAAATGGGAACTATAAAATGAAGGATTTGTCTTAATTTTGCCACTCAAATTTTCTCCTTGCCACCTTTGCTGGCAACAGTAGAGAACCGGAACGTGATGATGCTTCCTGGATTGCAATCCTGTTGCGCTTCAGGTTGGGAGATAAATTACCAATACCTTGCCATATGGGTTGATCACTTTCGAAACACGCTGCGTCGATGCTGCTCTTTCCCGTGACGTTACAGTCGTCATTGTTCTTCCGTCATTACAAACCTAAATGGGTAGGTTAGGTAATCTAGACAATAGAGGCGTGGAATGCGGTCTTGCTGTGTGCTGTTGGGATGCACATTGCACAATGATTCTAATCACCTCTAGCTCTCCATGTAACCTTCAGTGATATCCGGGAAGCTGGCGGCGCACGTTCTGACGAGTTGCGTTTTCCGGGAGCGCTATTTTGCCGTCTGTTTGTAGGCTGTTGGTCAATAAATTGCACAAGTTCATGGTGCTGCTGGAGATATAACTCGTACGTCGATAAAGTGATGAAAAGCGCTGAAAAGAATGTGAGAAATACAGAATAACGGAACAGACGCAATGGCTCCCTTCGCATGTCAATACTTATCATCGTCAGTAAGCATTTTAATAAACTATTTTGAGATGGATCCTGCTTCGGGCATTTTCCCACAAAAACGGTTTTTTTTCTCTTAGGATTTAACCGAACCCGGATAGGAATGATGAAGGAAAGAGTGGGTGCCATCAATCTCGTGCAGTTTTGATGCAGTCTCAATATGAATATGATCAGTCTCAATATAATTGGGACTCAATATGATCAGTAAGCTCACCCATTGAATATTTAAAGATTTCAAAATTGACTTGAAAATTTAAAATTGAAATTGAATTGACTTAAAAACCTCGGTTCACATGAACTCATAACCGGTTAAATGTGAGAACTTGTCTTATTCCCAGTCAGATTTGCCGAACGCCAAGCCACCTGTTGCCAATAGACCCTGAAACGTTTCACCGTCTCTCAGCCCGTCTCGGCGAGGTCAGTGCTCCGGGGCGACCACGAGGGCGGCATCCAACGGACCTGTCGGGACCTGTCTCCCCCCCCCTCCCCGCCCCTCCCAGACGGCGGGTCACGCGGTCCCTCCGAATTCTCAGAACGGAGACGGACCTCGCCCCGGGCGAGTTGCCACTCCTCCACCGAGACCGATAGGTCGACGCGTCGGTAGGGCCGGGGGCGGGGGGATGGCAGGTAGCAGGGAGGGAATGTGTCAGATTTCTTTGCACCCACGCGTTGAATACTTGGATAAATTTTTAATGAAGAATTCTTTTTTGTAAATTATTTGAAGATTTGAGACATGTTTATGGCATCTTAACAAGAATAATTGAGGCGGATTTTCACTCACTGTTAATTTCTTGACATTGCTTTGGGAGATTTCTTGTAAATATTTGACAGAAAGGTGCTTCCTTTTGTTCTCCGGAGTGCACGAGTATGACATTCGCACCATATGCGTAATGTTCAATTTTCACGAAAAACTCGTGCTTTCCTTGTTGCCGCTCTTTACCGGAGGCATTAATTTTCAGCTGATTGCGTAATAGAGATGTTTGTCATTTCTTCTCCGTCCTGGTCGATGGTCATCGTTAAAATTTTAATAAATTAAAAATGTCATGAAAGCATGTCCTGTTTTGTGTGACGGTGACTGTTACTAGGCCTCATTACCAGCGCTGTTTATCCGTCCATGTTCAGTGCTCCTCCTCTGTGGTTGTGCATAACCGACCACCCGTCATTCTGTTTATAAATTGTGCCGTTTTGCTTACCCCTGAACCATGTCAGTGCGATGTACGTTGATGTACGTTTACATGTTATGTAAGATACGTGCCAAACAATTCTCAGAAGCATGTCTGATTCTGTGCGAAAATCGGCTCGCCTTGAGCGGCGTGTTTTACCTTTGATTAGCTGTGGGCTCTCCCCGCTGCCAGATGCAAGGAAGATTCTTGTGAATTTGTAAAGTCGTTGATATTGAGCGACTAAGCGAGAAACATGTCTTGGAAATATTGGGAACAGTAATGTCCAGCCTTTACCATTGAACCTAAAATATTTTTCTAATTTACATAAAACTCATGCAAAAGAAAATGCTTAACAACTTCTGAATCCAGGATTTCCGCTGCATCGCTATTTTTGCCATCGTGTAGCTTGGATGTGTACAATTTAAGCGATCGTTTCTCATGATATTTGAAACACAATATCGTTTGATTTATGACTGTTCCAGAGAAACTGTGGGCGCGATCATAAATACATCACTTTAGTGAGCTCACAAGGTGCCACTGATCGACATCGATCCACTGCTTTCTGGCACGTTTTAGATCCCAGTCTTACCCGGCGGTTTCTCTCATACACACCGCAAACACCGAACCCGCTACCGGGCCCAGATACAAGAATATTTTGGTGGCTCGAAAGCCAAAAACCAAGACGCAGCCGCTATTTCGTTTTTGGTTACTCATGTTATTATCCGGTTTACGTTTCCGGCACCATCCTTCTCATTTTCCCATACGCCGAGATATCCCTTTAGCATTATCCTAGCCGTGCGGGAAACATTTGCACGTGATCTTTCCTGCACTGTTTTCCGGCACGGGTTGATGACCTACAGTTCTGGTGATTTTTTGATAAAAATCTTAAAAAAGGTGATTTCAATAATTAAATTGTGAGTTTCTGAATAGATATAAAACGACGTATGGGAAATATCTTACTGAACTTGCTCTGAGAAGAAAAATGGAAACCTCGGTCTTCAAAAAATCTCCGGCACTTGGCTACGCCTCGTGCCTACCATTTTTTAAAGACCTCGGTTTCCATTTTTCTTTCCCAGAGCCGTTCAGTAATATATATTCTAGCACGTGCTAGAGCGTTTATGGGAAACCTAACGTTGACACTCAAAATGCGGCTGGGATGTTTGCGCGTTATTGGTCACGCAATGGCTTTTTGCATCTGTGAGCCGTTTGATGCAAGGGCGGACAGTGGTGTGAACACACGCCACACATTATGGATATTTCCCAAAAGACTTGTAGCTGTGGCCCAAAAGTCAGGCTGTTGGCTGCCACATCAGATACGGTTTTGTTGTTGTTGTTGAGCAAATGTGGGTGGCTCTGTTGCTCGATCAGGTGGAAGCAAATTTGTAGAATATTGAAACGAGATAGAGAGTGAGAAAAAGTGAGGGAGAGGCAGAGAGAGAGAGAGAGAGAGAGAGAGATAGAGAGAGAGAGAGAGAGAGAGAGAGAGAGAGAGAGAGAGAGAGAGAGAGAGAGAGAGAGAGAGCAGGGGCGGATCCAGGAAAACTCCAAGGGGAGGGTCATGAATCGAAGTGGTGCCCCTACCTATACCCAAAATTAAAAACTCAACGGATTTCGTCCACTTCATTTTGGTGGTGCCCCCATTTTCAGTTTTTTATTTTTATTTTTTATTTTTAGTCAGTATCTTACCTCTTAGCCACAACCACATTTACCAATTGTAAGCAAGTATATATGAATGTGCTATGTGTATATATGTTGTGGACGCTGAGTAATGAGTACTTACCAGGAACGTTATCAGGTAAGCAAATCGTTGTCAGTCCGACGAACTTGACCCTGGCGTCTAAAGGGTTTGTCCTTGACACTTCAGGCTTGTCAGGGGCACCAAAGTCCTTCCAGGGACACCAAAAACCTGTCAGGGGCACCTACGGCCTTGTAGGGGCGCCACAGGCCCGCCAGGGGCACCACAGGCGTGCCAGGAAGCAGGGGCACCACAGGTCTAGCAAGTATACACGACAGGCCTGTCAGGGGCACAACGAGCCTGTTGGGCCCATGAGCACCCCTAGGGGCAGGGGCACCACAGTCCTTCCAGGGGCACCGCAGGCCTGTGAGGGGCACCAGTGGCCTAGCAGGGGCACCAGTCAACACAGGCCTGCCAGGGGCACCACAGACCTGCCAGGGGCACCAGAGGCCTGCCAGGAGCACCACCGACCTCGCAGGGGTAACTTGGGCCTGTCAGGGCCCAGGGGCACCACGGGCCTGTCGAGAGGCACTTCAGGCTTTTCAGGGGCACCATAGTCCTCTCAGGGCGCAGGGGTAGCAGGGGCACCAGAGGCCTGCCAGGGGCACTACAGGCCTAGCAAGGGCACCACTGGTCTATCAGGGGCACCACGAGCCTGTCATAGCCAGGCATCTCAGGCTTGTCAAGGCCCAGGGGCACCACAGGTCTGTGAGGGGCACCAGCGACCTAGCAGGGGCACCAGTCAACACAGGTCTGCCAGGGGCGCCACAGACCTGCCAGGGGCACCACAGACCTGTCAGGGGCACCAGAGGCCTGCCAGGGGCACCACCGGCCTCGCAGGGGCACCTTGGGCCTGTCAGGGGCACGACGGGCCTGCCGAGGGGCACTTCAGACTTTTCAGGGGCACCAGTCCTCTCCGGGCGCAGGGGCACCAGAGGCCTGCCAGGGGCACCAGCGGCCTAGCAAGGGCACCAGAGGCCTGCCAGGGGCACCAGCGGCCTAGCAAGGGCACCAGAGGCCTGCCAGGGGCACCACAGGCCTAACAAGAGCACCACGGGCCTGTCAGGGGCACCTCAGGCTTGTCAGGGCCCAGGGACACCACAGTCCTTCCAAGGGCACCGCAAGCCTGTCAGGGGCACCAGAGGCCTGCCAGGGGCACCACAGGCCTAGCAAGGGCACCTCTGGCCTGTCAGGGGCACC